GTGCTTCATTTTGAGAATAGTTTAATCAAATTTCATGCTCTAGTTGATTTCCGGTCCATTTTATGGTCTCATGTGGTCCATTTCGCCTGCGAAGTATTACAGTTCATAATTTAATTTCATTTGCAATTTCTCTGTAGACCCAATTATAACACAAGTAATTGGCAACTGATTAGTTTCGATTCAGACACAAGATTAGAAATAAAAGAAACAAAACAAGATAATTTACATAACGCCGATAAAAATCGTCTGGTCTTTCACAAAATTATTCGCGAACTGAAAATCTGTTTTACTGAATTAATTCCTTTCATTCTAGTTTCTCCTTTTCTTTCAAATCATTTGCCTTGTCAGATCACTCTTTCTCTACGCTCATTTCTGTTGCTTCTCTTTTAACCCAGTAATATCCACTGTCCCCGAGTTGTTCGTTGGACGTTAAGATAGAAAATTATAATTAATACAGCATAATCAATACAGTATAAGCTCATAATTAACCCGTAATTTTCCTTTAGTATTCCGCAATTAACACCTGATTTTCCTTTAGTAATATATAATTAACACCTGATTTTCTTTAGTATTCTATAATTAACATCTGATAATTCTGCAGTACGTTATAATTAACACCTGGTTTTTCTTTACTAACTAAAAATACCGGATTTGATGGCGGAAATTAATTATACACACGCATATAAATACACACACACACACACACACACACACACACACACATATATATATATATATATATATATATATATATATATATATATATATATATATATATATATATATATATATATTTCTGTTTCACACCTGATTGAAGTTTATGACGATATACATATTCTGAAAGGTGACATTTCAACGAGTCTATTCGTGTGTGAATTGTGAATTTTAAATGTTTCACGCGATCTTCATTTTCTTCGTATGTTTTTGGTAATAAGAAAGTTCCACTAAGAGAGCTTTTTTCAAAGAATTGTCACTCTGTGGAACAAGCTTTCTAGAGGATGCTTCCTCAATCTTATCAACCTTTTTCACTTTATTTAAAGCAAGAAAATAGTTTTAGATAGCAAGATTTCTTTTTAGATAATAATGATCTAGTGATACAGGTTTCGCTAAGTAACATATAGCTAGGGAGAGAAGAAGTGGTTTTTATAGCTTTCCCATGGGTATTTGCGCAAGAGTGAATATAACGAACCCAACGGGAATTGGAACTCGGCTCTCCGATTAACAATTCCTAACCGTTACACCACCCGCACACCCAAGCTTACAGCAACTTACATTCCCAAGCGGCCAGCCATCTAGGCAATGACTAGTCTCTTCATTGCTTAACATCAATAATCTTTTACCTTCTCTTATCAAACCCAGAGGCCCAGCTACAAGTCGAATTTATTAATGTCTTCATGTGCCACATTTTTTTAAAAGATCACTTCAGGATCCTGATATTTCTTTATTTTTTTTTTAATGATCGTTAAATCTCTACTGCCTTCTTCATGAACTGCCCTGTTAATAAGAAAGTACATTCTGTTTTTGTGGTTTTTCATCACTATATCTGGGCGGTTAGATTTGATTATTCTGTATGTATTGTAAAGTCCTATAAAAATGTTACATGTACTACATCTGTAATCAGATTCATAAAAATTATTATTATGGTCATTGTTATTATTTCCTTTGGTTTCTGTTGTATACAAATTTCTTTCCGGGTCCCTACCAGAGATCTAAGATCAGAAATGGATTCATGAATCTTTCCACTGATCATTTTTGAAAAAAAAAAAAAAAAAAAGAAGAAAGATATCACTCATAATTTACATAGATAAAGCTCTTAGTAATGAGTGAGCTGTACTTGTGAATACAACTTTTTTATTTGTTTAAGACGTGGGCTACCAGGAATCCCTTCAGTGACTCTATCGGAACCTTAACCAATCAGTCCGAGGGATCCAACTACAGCTGGAATTAGTGATGTCCTCTTGTGCCACATTTTCAAGATTTCCACTTCAAGATTCATGTATTTTGATAGTTTTTGAAAATCTTCAAAGATATATTACAATGAGCAGGGATTGCCAAGTCAATAAGAAACTCCATTCTCTTCTTGTCTCTTTCTCCTTCTTGTTCTTGTTCTTGTTCTTCTTCTTCTTCTACGTCTTCTTCTTCTTCTTCTTCTTCTTCTTCTTATTATTATTATTATTATTATTATTATTATTACCAATACTTGTTGCAGCATTCATATGTTCTGAAAATGTACTAGTTATGTTCTGAATTTTACCCTTTTGAACAGATCATATTCATTTTTGAATAAAGGCAAACCTTCATCTAGAGAAGTCGGCCTTATTGTTTTAGACAAAAGAAAAAAATATTTTCCTTTGGTTAATTATCATGTTTCTGTCAAAGCATTATCATTTATTTGTATCAGATCAATTTCTCTCTCTTTCTCTCTTATTCTCTCTCACCCTCCATATGCATGTATCTCTCTCTCTCTCTCTCTCTCTCTCTCTCTCTCTCTCTCTCTCTTGTTATTTCTCTTTCTTTGCCTGTCTTGTCTTACAGTCATGACAGCAGTGAACCCAATAACCTCAGCTTTGTCTAAGATTTTCTCTCTATTAGTGGAAATGAAACGGGTTTTACAGTCATGGGACAAAGATAGAAATATAGATGACAGAAGGAAAAGCTTCCTCTGTTCCCCCCCCCATTCCGGGGTTGTGCTAGTTATCATGAAATCCTCAGGTGGGGAGAGGTGTACGTATTTTTTCCCTGTTTTACTTCAGAATCGGTTTCCCATTTGACATTCCCTTTGCTTTGTTTTTCCAATAGATTGAAAAATTACAACATCCGTTGGGAAACAGACACGCGACATATTGTTTTTTTTTTCTTATTTCCAGCTTTACAATGTCTTTCAAAATCAGGTATCTCTTCAAGATTCAAGGGAATAACATGATATCTTGTCGAACCTTATCAACACTGAATTTTCCTGAACGCAAATACATTATACATTTTTATAAAACGCAATGAAAAATCAATTTCAATCCTCTCGGTGTTTCACAAGCTTAGAGTCGTTTTCACTTTTGACAGTCAACACAGTCCTGTTCTAAGTCACCATCAGCTGCTTAGTTACGTTCTCCTTAATCACTTCCACGGCCTTACGATGGTAATTATAGTCTTGGGAAGAGTCAAAAGTTGAAGGACAACAATTCTGGGCTGACAGATCATAGTGTTGAGATGTGTCACCAAATAAGCCGACTCGAGACATAAATAATCTACTCCGGTCATTATGTTATACGACTGTCACAATTTAGCTTCTCACAGCCAACTAAATAGTAAATGACTGTTCACGCGTAGATATTAAGGTTATTTGATTGGTTGAATGTGTACATTAAGGCCGCGCAACAGGTTTGTAGAACAATAGAGACAATATTAGTTTGACAGGGTATAGTAGAATTTTAAGCATAACAAGAAAGGTACTTTCTATCTGAATTTCTGAGATGGAGAATTATCATTATTGACAATCGGACTATTGTCCTCACCTTTGTGTTTATTATCACAACGCTTTGGTCGTTGTGTCTTCCGGCCTCCATTAGTCTCTTTTCGATCTGGATAATCTTTAGGATTTCCTTAGTAGGAAGTAAAGAAATACGATACGGGAATCATTAATAAATATATAAAGAAAAAGCAGCAAGGCTTCAACAAGAGCAGCAACAAGAGAATGGAGACTCGGTCAAGGGTGGAATGCAGTAACAGTTTCAGCAGCAAATTTCAGCGGTTAGATTAGGCTTAAGCGTCCACGTTCTACGCTCATGATTGACTCACGGTACAATAGCCCAATCGATTAAAGCTTTGGTTACTGAATTTGGTGACATTGTAATTGTGAGTTCAAATAGTTGAAATACGGAGAGTAATAATAACTTTACGAGATATCGATTAACTGAAGGGTTCATTTCAATTCCCTGAAGATGACCCTGATCGACAAGCACAACATCAAAGATTAGGATAATAGTATGAGTGTGAGCAATGTAACTTACTATGCCTGATAAAAAAAAAATGAAGTTTACGATCACATCATGTTGAAACACCACTTTCCGTACGATCAGCGAAGTTAAACCACGTCAAGTCTGGTCAGTACCTAAATGGGCAACCGCTTAGGAATACAAGGTGCTATAAACAGTATTTACATTAGTCAGACAATTGTCCTCATCTTTGTCGCCATATTTGTCACAACGTTTCGGCCTTCTTCAGGTGGTTTATTTCGATCGCTGGTGTAGACTGTTCTAGTTCCACGTGCCATGTTTGATGGATGTCAGTTATCAGAAAGTTCTCCACTGCCTTAACCAGGAATTGAACTCACCTTCTTGGGTCTGTCACTGGATCTAACCAACGCCTTTATCCACTGTGCCATGTGTCCTTGAGGACCTCTGGGTATGAACTTCTGAGTATTATAAACCTAATGTTTTCAGCATCATTTTTACCAGTGCTCATATTGCAATTTTTTGCTGTTATCATTGCATGTCTTTACCAGAGTTCATATTGCAACTTTGTTATCATTGCTTTTCTCTGGCACTCCTTATTACTGGGTCTGACTAATGTAAATACTGTACATAATACCTCATCTCAGAAATATAGACAGACTCTGAAGGTGCTATAAACTTAACTGTACGGGTGGTGTACTGGATAATGCCTTTGGATTGTTAATTGGAGAGCCGTGTTCCAATTCCCGTTGGGTTCGTTATATTCCCTTTTACGCAAATACACTTGGGAAAAAGTATAAAAGCACTTCTTTACCCCCAGTTATGGGTTAATTAGCAGGACTTGTATCACTAAATCATTATTATCTTAAAAAAACTCCAACAGTATTAAAAGATAGTTCTGGTTTTAAATCACCTGTAGTGTATTAATCAGATGTAAAAAAAAAAAAACGAATCAAACAATTGATAAAGCAGTTTGTGCTCAAACAGTTCAGGAATTTAGACAAAATATAGAATATATCTGAGATGACTAAAGCTCCCTGAATTGGTTAAACTTTATGGTAAATTAAAGAAGAAGAAGAAGAAGAAGAAGAAGAAGAAGAAGAAGAAGAAGAAGAAGAAGAAGAAGCATTCAGTGTTGAGAGACAGCGTGCGAAGGACTGGAAAATGGTTTCGCCAATAACATACCGGCACAGCATCTGGTATCATGGTGTCTGATACTATAAATTAAACCCTCACTCTATGTTAGGAACGCTGAAATGCACCAGCATTGTTCAAGCCGGTCTGCTGCTATTTATGCATCAGGAACGTGATACACTGTTTACGTACGATAATATTTGCGTCAATCTTACAACTGGGAAATACTTGACTATCTTGAATTGATTCGTTTGTTTAACAACATATCGACTCTTTATAGGTCATTTGATACCGAAATTTAATTTTCTTGGGAGATTTGAAGCAATAAGCATATATGTTATTCTGCTTTCACAATTAAATACATGGTCAATGATACTCAGCTTTTGTGCATATACATGTTTGTGTGGACATAATTACTGGAGACGGTGATATATGTATTTCATGTTGTAGTTTTGTTAAAGTTATATTTTGGAATACAGTTTGATTTCCTTAAGAAGGATATTATATGGATTAATATCATGAAAGAGTTCTTTCATGCTGGTTGTTTGGTTGGTTGAATTTGGTAAACGGCATTTCAACCTCTATGGGTTATTTAATGTCGAAGATTAAACATTTCGAACACAATTTTATGGCTTCAACTAAATATATACTATAAATAGGTATTGTTGTTTTTTTAAATATACAAATATATTTTTATGCTTTCATATGGTTTTGTTTTTGTTTGGGGGTCAACTATTTTTTTATAGCTGGGATCCTTAAACGTGCTACCACCCCAGGTTAGAGTGGACCTGGGAACATCAGCAATTAAGAGTTGGTTCCATGATACTCAAAACCTCCGGAGGCCCATCTTCCGGCTTTAGTTTATACTTGACTGTCTTGAAAATCAGCATTTAAAATTCTGATTTTTCTTTGCCTGCATTCGAACAATCAACAACTGTTAGTGGTAGCAAAAAAATGCAAAACTATATCATGCACTAAGCATAGACTTGCTTAGTATGCATAATGGCAGGAGTATTACTTGTGCGAATACGATATATTTTGAATGGTCTTGCTTTGAAATCGCTCAGCAAAAAGCGCCCATAGAAAGAGCTGAAATTTGTTATTGATTCCTTGCTTTGGTTCCTTTTACTAAAAGCTGTAACAACGTTGCTCTCTGCTTCTGCCAACGATCGAGGAAATTCTTGACAGATAATTTATACTTTCATTTCTACTTTTTAAGAAATCGTGATTTTCTGAGGAATTACGATCGAGATTTTTTTTCTCAATTGCTAAACTTTCAGCATCGCAAGGTTTCTGCTTTCAGTCTCATCTTAATAATCACGGTTATTTCTCAGACATCTTTTTCAATATCGGATCAATCGGAAAGTTTCAGGCGGCAAGACATCGTAATGACGCTTATGGGGGAAGACCAAGCTTTAGCAAGCTTCTACTCACAGTCCTTTTGATTAAGTAGTAATGGCGGTAGTAATTAGCGTATGGCACGTGGCCGCGCTTGCTTTCTGACCATTCGACCCGGGTTCGAATCTTGCCATGGTCCATTTGTCAGTCTTGGGGGGAGGCAATCTCAAAAACCTGAAAACCATACCACTTTGAAAAATGCCTGAAAACCATGATAGTCGTAAATGCGTAAATTGGGTTTGTTCAGGTTATTCATAACGCCAGATAATGCGATCTCTCCCAGAAATTGTAACAGATGTTCGATCAGCATAGTCGCAGTGTAAACTAAATATATATGCTCTGTGTATTGAGTAGGCATTTTTAGTAGGGTTTATCTCGCTACCCTGGCAGACGAGCGAGTTCGGAAACGAGTTGTAACTGCCTATTATATAGTTGCATGTTAACACCAGATGTCTGGAGATGATTACTTGAGACTGAGTGACTGTAAAATGCTGGATATTAAATATTTTTCTCAATGCCGCCGTAAAATGAACAGTCTCAGACCTTCCTTAACATTTCTATTTAGCTAAACGTTCTTCTAATGAAATTCTTACAGAGCCACACCTAGGACAAACATAACTTCTTGCAAATCTCAATGTAAACTGAACAGTCTCCGACCTTTCTTAACATTTCTGTACAGCTAAACTTGCTTCTAATAGATTTCTTACAGATCCACACTTCGGTCAAATACAACTACTATATTTATATTTCACGATTTCCCAGTCACATCCACGATTCACAGGTATTCTTTGTTTACGACTAATTGAAACACTTGCTTGGATGAAACGGTCAGTCTGTAGTCGAGTATTATTTTTTTTTATTCTTCTCGAGTGACCTAATACAATTTGTTTATTAAGCGTGTCCCGGAAGTCACCCCGAGATATAAAACTCCAGTTATTTCAACATTTTTTTTTATTATTCAAAAATAGTTTTATACAAAATTAAAATTCAAAAACTGGATTTACATTCCCATTCAATCATGAAAAGTTATACGATGTCAATGTATTCAATTTTCTATGTCACATAAAGGCGTTTTTTCTATAGTTTTCTGACAACAACTAATATCTACAAAATTCTGTGACTTTCATCCGTTCGTCATACCCTCTAAAATAACCGTACATTGATCGAGAGAAACCAAATTTTGGGGGAAAATGCAAACAGATAAGTGGATAATTTCTGTTCAGGTGTTATGCCTGTGTTGCCGAATTTGATGGCGGTAAAATTTCGGAATTCCACGAAATTATCCGGTAAACAAAAGTTTATTTAAATCAAAAATAACATTCTAGGATTTTGATTCTTTGAACAATTGTGAATTTTTTTCAGGGATAATTTTTCTCCGTTAAAGTTAATTTCAGAAAAAAAGAGATAAACATTATAAAAATATTACATGTTATGTCATTTTTAAATAGCTAGTTGATTTTTAGGAAACCCTGTATAATCGAAACCGATACATTTCCACAATTCCCAGTGGAAGAAGTAAAACAACAGCAGTAATTATTATTATTATTATTATTATTATTATTATTTTATATCCTTTGATTTCTGGTGTGTACACATTTCTTTCCGGGTCCCGCCCAGAGACCTAAGGTTAGAAATGGCATCATAATATTTTCCACTGACCAATTTAAAGACACACACACACACACACATATTTTACATAGATAAAGCCCTTCATAAGGTGTTGGCTGTACTCCTGAGAACAATTTTTTTTATATATCTTTAAGGCATCAGCTCCCAGCAATCCATTCAATGAGTCTACTGGCCACATTTTGAAGCGGGGTGGTTTTGTTAATCTTTAATACTGTATTATGATTTAGGTCCTCACGGGGTGCCCTGTATTTGTAGCCTTGTGGCAAAACTAAGATGAGTTTAGTAAATAACAATGTGAAAAGCATACGCAAGGAAAACTGATTTGATAAAACAGAAGTTATTCCAGTGACAATAATTAGAGACAAAAGCATGCAATAGAATATTTAAGTCGCCTACAAAGATGCGAACCAGTAAAAGAACACGAGGCGAATATTTTATTAATGCAAATTCAATTATTAAGAAAAAATGGCGATGTGTATATCAATAGGGAAAATATACTGAGATTGTAGAAACATTTTTTCAGGCATAATTCTAAATGCACTAATAAAAAACTTCAGAAATAATTGGTAATTAGCCAAAAAGTTTGGGAAAATGTAAGAACAGTTTTCTCGAAGGAAACGTATTATAGCAAAGTCATTCAACTATTAAAAAAAGACTTGTTTTACAAAATGATTTTAGAAAAGTGGTCAAGGAATAACAATCCATAATATTCTAAGAAAAGGAAAATATTCAAGACGGCATAGAAAAAATTTTATGCTGTTTAAATTCTGAGGTGTATGATCTTATATATAGCACATCAGGCCAAATGACGGTTGCGTATAGGATACAGGTTCAATTTCTGTTAGGAGGACACATATTTTCTACGAAAGTTATCGGATATTCAAGCCGGTAAATGTAATTAATACTGTTTATTATAAACAGAGCATTTACTTAAATAATTATATCTATAAAATTAACGTATGGAGAGAAAATATATTAGTGCAACTGTAACTTAATTTTAAGGTGTTTTTATTAAAGATCTTGCTAAGTCTGCTATTAAAAGGAAAGTGTTTTTCAATTAAAACTAGGAACTTATATCTTAGCTTAATACTAACCATTTGGTTGAACGGAGGGGTATATCAAATGATTTTCCTTTTCCTGTTTTTCTTCTGCTTAGTACTATTGTTTCTATAATTTATGTTAGTGTTTTTGTATCTGCTATTTTTTAGGGCTGCGTTGTAAAAATTACTGTGTTGTCGGAATATTTCATTATTAGCGGAGTTCATGCTGATTCTTTTCTCTATTGATGTGGGTATATGCTTAATTATAGATGGAGTGTGGTTTGACTTAGGGTGTACATACAAGGGATTAGTGTTAGGTTTTCTGTAAGCTAGGTGTATGTTGTTCATTCAGTCTAGAGTTACGTCGAGGAAGTTTACCTTTTTTAATTTAGTATTGACTGTAGTTTTTAAGTTTAGTTTTCTGAATTCACTATATATTATCTTTCTAATTTTATCTCTTTTAAAATTTGTGGAGCTCCTCACTACCATGAGTCCGTCATCTCTGTATAGCCCGATGTCCTTAATGTCTAATTCACGATGCGCGGTTAGATTGTATATTATAAATAGACCGACAAGGTCAGAAGACTCTGCAGAGTCTAAAGATCCCATGGTGATGTCAAAATTGTCATTAGTGTTTTTAATCCATTGGTCCCCATTATGGATGAGGACAGATTTTTTTACACTAAGAATTGTGTTCATTTCCTCCTTAGTTAAGTCAGAATATACAGTAGCAAACTCCAGGGCAGTCGTGAAGAGATCTCTTGATATTGACTGGTCATAATCCACGATATCGAACTGTATTGGGGTGCAATCAGGGTTATTGTCGATGTTGGTAAACCAGTTGATGACTTCTTTGGTATTAATCCAGAGTGTTAATCCAAGGCATTTTTTGATTTTCCTAAAGATTCTTTCTAGAATTCTTTTATCTTTCCTATGTCGGGGTCTGGTGGGGTTTA